CGGACCCATTTGCCCGGATCCTATATATTGCCTCCTAATGAGCATGATGTCATCCCGAATCCCCTCTTCGTAGATCAGCTGATTCTACCGGTCTCTTTGCCCTTGTTAGACGTATTGAAAATTGGCCTCTGACGCTTTTTCTTCAGTTTTCTAAATCCCTTTTATTCTTATTTTTATAAATGTATATTATTTCTATTACTTAGGTCTATGTTATTGGCAATATCAATGTACTAAGAGGCAGTCGTGTCAATCTAAAACAACAGGAATGTGGTCCGTAGCAGTCGGCTAAAACCACCTCTTGGCCCAATGAGCATTAGCAGAAGTTTACACTACTATGGACAATATCGCCTGTTCCCTTTTCTCGTTGTTTACTTAGCACTACCGTCAACACTCTATCTACAGCTCTTCTACCATGGTTTCCGGTATTGGTCGACATATTACTACGTTTTTTTCACCAGATGTCTGTTATTGATAGACAGTATTTGAGTCCTGTCTATCGCAGTTTTCAATCTGTGCGACTGTTGTCAGCCATCTGCATCACGGGTAGTAATATATCTCCTATATTGCTCGTTACGTGCATCTAGTATGGAAAAAAAAGCTCTGAACTGGCACTTTCGAATAGAAAAAAACGTACATAATAGCTGTCTTAAGTAAATTATTCATTATCACATCTAATCTACCTTAGACTAGAATTATATAGGTATTATAGATATATTTTTTTTTAATTTCCTTCCTCTCTGAACCATCTACGCTACACCAACTACCGTCTACGCATCTACGCTAGGTACTTACAAGCTCTGGGAAAGGAAGCTGGAGAGGCGGAGCTTGCTGAGAGGGGGAGTGCTGGTCATCTTGCCGTCCTGGAAGTCCTCGCGTCCTCTTTAAACTTCCTTTTGGTCTTCTTAAGCGAAAACAAAGAATACGGGTTTCCTTGCGTTCCCACTCGCTCGCTGTCCTGGGAGGTGTGTGTGTGTGTGCGCCTGTAGTACTTGGTCTGGTCTATTCTTTTTTTCTTTCTCTTTCTCTTTCTTTTTCTTTTCTTTTATTTTTTTTATGTTATGTCGCTTTTTCTTCCTCGTACGTTCGCGTACTTTCAATTTCTATCTTTTACCTTTTCTTTTCTATCTCTCTTTTCTATTCTTTCTCTCTCTCTCTCTCTTTCTCTCTTTTATCAAATTCCTGCTCTTCTTCTTTTCTTTTTTATCTTTCGTCCTTCCTCCGGGATGCGATAGCTCCTCCTTAACCCTCGGAGACTCTATCACAGCACAAGAGACACTCGAGGAAGAGGAGGAAGCCGGACTGTGAGGGCGCTAGGAAGGAGGACTTGGTGAAGGGAATCCCCGGACTGGCGGACGAGGTGTGGAGGAGGAAAGATAAGGAAGAAAGTCAGCGCCAGAGAGATAGGCAGAGAGATGACAGGATGATCGCAAAATCCTGCTTGACCTGGGTCACATAGATACCAGAATTGAACTCAAAATCTCAAAATATTCCGATCCACTTTTTTATTTTATTTTTTTTACATATATGCTATCTACTTTTTTCTATTTCAAAATTTTGCCAATCACGGAAAATATAGTGGGAAATATTTCTTTCCTTTTTTGTATAATTTTTATATATATATATTTTTTTTTACATATATATATTTTTGAGGGAAAACACTTTTTGTGGTGAAACTTTCTCTCTCAAGCGGTCGCTGACAAAACACTCATCTTTGGGTCGAAAAAATATATATTTTTACAACAACTGGTCCCAAAAAATACGGCTGTGACCAAAAGCAAAAAAAGAAAAAAAAATCTATTTATATATACATATAAAAATACAAAACCGAAAAATTTCTATCAGTCTGGTTTTATATATATATATTTGAATATTCTCTCTCTCTCTCTCCCGCAGGTCGCAGAGTCGTTTTTTTAACGTAATCTCACACTGTTTCTCACACGCTTGGCCTCACGAAGGAGATCTCAAAACACGGGAGGAGGACAAATGAGAGGAAACACGTGGATGAAGGATAACTAGAAAAGGAAGGAAGGGAGAACGAGAGAAAGAGACAGTAAGGGAGGGAAGGAAAGCGAGGAGGAGGAGGTAAAAGGAGGAAGGAGGAGGAGGAGCAAAAGGAGGAAGAGGAGGAGGAGGAGGAGGAGGAATACCAGAACACAACACAAGGGGGAGGGAAAGGAGGACGAGTTACGCGTTACGAGGAGGGAAGCGAGTATGAGTCGTCACGAGCGAGGAGGAGAAGATGAAGAAGGAGGAAGGAGGAAGGAGGGGAATGGCGAGAGGGGGGCGAGGCGGCCTAACTTTGACGAGGAACGAGGCTGAGGGCGGCGCCGGTATGCACGTCGGACGAGCGCGGGAGCCGGGACATGTGGCCAGGCTCAAGGCTGGTGCGAGACTGGAGGGCTGTGGCGTGACCCCTCGCTGTCTCTCTCTCTCTCTCTCGTGCTCGCTCGCTCGCTCGTTCGCTCTCGCTCTCCCTCGCTCTTCTTCTCTCTCTCTCTTT